GAGAGAGAGAGAGAGAGAGAGAGAGAGAGAGAGAGAGAGATCCCAAAGAAAGTAGTCTTCATTCCCCAGAAGAGGGGTCCAAGCAAACTAACTAGTTCTCTGCCTCTTCACCATTCTCCTTCCACATGGGCATTGCTCAGCTCTTAAAAGATTTGGGGCCCAGGCCCATAGAATGCAACTCTACATAAAGTTTGCATATGCTCATGAATCTATACCCAAGGAAATTTCCAAAGTAACTGACTGGATTTATTAAAATTTCACAGGCAGCAAACCAAGCCAATGAATTCCTCATCCAAATTAGGGGAGTTGCTCTAGGCCCTCCCTTATTCTGGTTGCCCTTTTCTGCACCTGCCCCAGGTCTCAAGCACGGTTGCAGGAGTATGGGAAACTTTATGTGCCCTTTCTATCATTCTGTAAAGGACAAAAGACCATGAGCAAATACCATAATGATGAAGAGAGAGTTCACCCCTCACCTCTAACTTGATGCTGCTCTTTGTCAGTTCAGCCTCTCGCAAGGAGCACACAAACTGGTCCTCAAAGGTGGGGTTGCTAGAGTTCTTCACCACCTGTGTCCGCCATTCATGGACCACATGCTGCAGATGAGGGGTCTGGGGGGCCCAGCTCAGCAGTCTGACCCGGACAAAGGTGCTTCTGCACTGCTGGATGGGGAGGCCCAGAGCGCCAGTGACTGTCAACAGCAGCTCTAGGTGCTTTTTGTTGTAGAGGAGGGAGAACCTTAGTTTGCCCTGTGTTTGGTCTGGAGTGCCCCTCTCACTCGCCAAGATGTTCCCATCGCAGCCATGGAGTTTCTCCCTTCTGAGTTTTTGCATCTGGAGAAAATGAGAAAATGTTGAATATTTGCATCTTGAGTATTTGTGTCATCCTAAAATGGTTGAAGAACACAAGAACATAAGAAGAAACCTGCTCCATCAAACTAAAGGCCCTACTAGTCCAGCATTCTGTTCCCATGGTGGCCAACCAGCTCCCTGGGGAAACCCTCAGAAGGATGGGCATTCACCAAGAGTTACAGACAGGCTGCCTCTAAGCACACGCTCAGCCCAGGACGGAAATCTACTTGTGGCCCTGCACGCACCCCAGCTTGCTTTGTTTCAGCAGCTGAGCATTAAGGCCAAATCCCAGACTAGACAAAGAGCCAACATGGGATGCTGGTTAGTGTTGAACTGGGAACTCAGAAGAGCCAGGTTTTAGACCCCAATCAGCCATGAATCCTACTAGGTGCCCTTAGGCCAGTCATGGAGAGGAAGCAAGGGAAGGGGACGGGGGAGGGGAAGCAAGGGAACCACCTCAAGAGTGATATACTTGCCTTGACTTCATAGTGGGGCTGTTGCACAAAGTCAAGAAAAGATGCCTCTATTCTTCCCCTCTGGAAGCCATTCTGCAGGGCTAAGCCTTTCCGAGAGTCCCTGGCAAATTTTCTTTCTGTAAGAACAAAAACGGCATTTCTTCAAGGAAACGGCACCACTACAAACAAAGGTAGAAATGACTAGTTTCAGGAAATGAGTCTAGATGTGTTGGAGGGACCAGTCAACACTACAATGGGGAAGGCAGTGACCTGGGCATACCTGCTCCATCTGCTGTCCAGGTGCTCATTGCTGATGGGCCGTTGCTCTGCTCTCTGTTCGGATGATTCTGAAACTTCCAATCAGACTTGGACTGGATGCCTTCAAACAGAAGGCTGCCCTCATTTAAAGAGAGGTCTGTCCTCCATAAGGTAGGACACCTGACTACCCTATAAAATCAAACACCCCATTGACTAGTATAAAATGTAAGGGTATGCATGATAACGCTTTTATTCTCAGGACCAGCTAGCAGGTTTTGATTTCTTTCCAGGATGTGCAAATAATTTAAAGTTATTCCCAGTTAGGCTATGAGAAACAGGAAAGGAAGCAATTCAGGTGGATGAGAATGATTCAACTGACAATTTGCCTTTCTGAGAGATGCAGCTGTTTTTCCTGCATAGTTGGGTTTATCCCTTGAAATAACATTTAAACCAAAGGAACTCCTGCTACTCACCCACAACATTCTCTGAAACATACCATTCTCAGACTTGTTGGGGATCCAGCACCTGCACAGTTGACAGCTGAGAATGATTAACGCCACCAAGAGCAGGAGGATGGACAATGCCAGCATGCCATATTTCCAGATTTCGGGGAAGGGGAGTAGAAAACTTTGGAAGTCAAGGAGGCCGGGCCTTGCTTGTGTCATGGCTCTCTCCCTGTTGGAAGCAGATAGGCGACCTCGATGTTGAATGCAGCCAGTGCATGATACTTTGGTACGACGGAATGAACGGAACCGGTCCAGGCCGGAAATGGGGACTGTGCTCTTGAACTGCCGCTCTCATTATCTGTTACCATTGGCCATGCCATCAAGGCTAATGGGGGTGCAGTCTGCCAACATCTGGAGACCACAAGTTGCCCACCCCTGTTGTAGACCAAGACAAAAATAACCCAAGTGATTAAACTTTTGTTAGCACTATTTGGGCAAGCTTTGCCATGTGATGGGAATATAATGAAGAAGGAGCACCGCAAGCTAGAATCCTTGCAGCAATGAGTGGAATAAATCAGATGTTCCCACGGGACTCCATGGGAGGAACAAATATTTCACTCCCACTGCTAGAACCCCTTGCTGTGGCCCCTTAAAAATACCCTTTGGATTGAGGAAGTTGGTTTTGAAGCAGCTTCTGAAATCTCCACTCAAGCAGCCAAGAGCTGCCCCTATAGAAAGGGCCCCAGGCATGCTTGGGAGCAGCTTGCCTGAGCAGTTCCTCTTCCTGCTGCCCATTTAGACTCACTGTGCACCTTGAAAATTCCCATAGATCACTTAAGCCAACTGTGAGGCCTGTTTGAGCGATTCCCACTGCAGCAGGCAAAAGCTGCCAATCGCCCTGGAATGATGCCTGGGCACCCTGGAGGGGCCTAGCAACTACACTTGCCTGGCAGATGCTTGGAAAGAGCAGCAAGGGGGCTTGGGCACTCTTGCCAAGCGGCTTTGCAGCAGCTTGTCCTCATCCATAACAAACTGGGTGGCAAAATACCAATAACATGTCATTGTGTTATCAACATTAGGACAACACAAGAAACCTTCACGGGTGAAACAAGAGTCCCTGCAAGCTATTGCTTCTCAGTGTTAGCTCATAAGCTGAATTTTAGTGTCCTGAAAAGCCGGTCACAGGTTTGCCATGTTCCCCAGCAACTGGTATACATAGATAAATCGCTTCACATACTGGAGGCAATATAAAACCATTTGAACTGGAAACCATCAACAGCCTTCTTCTCCATGAATTTAGCCAAGCTCCTTTAAAGCCCTCCAAAATGCTGGCTATTACTACATCTTGTGGAAGCGCACTCCAGACAATGCACTGTGAAGAAGTACTTCCTTTTATCTGTCCTAATCTCCAACCAGGCAGCTTCATGGGATGACCCTGGGTTATAATATTGAGAGAGAGAGAGAGAGAGAGAGAGAGAGGGAGAGAGAGAGAGAGAGAGAGAGAGAGAGAGAGGTGTCCCTGTCCACTTTTCCATACTGTGCATAATTCTATCATGTCTCACCTTACTCACCTTTTACTTAAGTAAAATATTCCCCAGTGTTGGAACTCTTCCTCACAGGGGAGTTCCTCCAATCCCCTGAGCATTTTGGTTGGCCCTTTCTGCACTTTTTCCAGCTGCACAATATCCTTTTTTCAGTGTGGTAACAAAGACTATGCATAGTCTTGTAAGTGCAGATGCGCCATAGCTTTTTACAAGGGGTATATGATATTGGTAATTTTATTTTCAACCCCTTTCTTAATTTTGCCTTTGTGTTTTTCACAGCAGTCATGCATGGGATCAGCACTTTCATCAAGCTGCCCATCATTTCCCCAACATCTTCTTGGTTAGTCACCACCAGCACAGAACTCATCAGCCTATACTTGAAGTTGGGATTTTTTCCCACAATATGCGTTACTGGTGGTGCCCAGACTATGGAATATGCTCCCCAGAGAGGTCCGCCTGGCGCCGACTCTACTCTTTCCAGTGCCAGGTAAAGACCTTTTTATCTACCCAACATTTTCATAATTAAATTAATAATTTTAGTAAGACATAATTAACAGTTTATAGTCACATTTTTTTCTCTTCTTTTCCTTTTTCCTTCTTTTAATCTTGAATAATTATGACTGGATGTTTTAATGTCTATTATTGTATTTTAATTGTATTTTATATGGTTATTCATTTTGTTGTGAGCTGTCCTGAGGCTATGCAAAGGATGGCATAGAAATGTTTTAAATAAATAAATAAGTTTACCCTTGCTTACACTGTTGCCCCTTTAATGTCCATTCTTCCAGTTTGGAGAGGATGGAAACTCCTCTCCAAACTGGAAGAAACTCCTCACATTCCTTTTGAAACTCCTCACATTCCTTGTGGTTTTAATCTCCCTAATGGCTTTGGTGTTATCAGCAAACTCAGCCACTTTGATTAAGGATTAAGCTGGAGAAAAGTCAGCCATGTCAGAATCTGGAGGACGAATAGAGGGTGGAGAACTCTTCCTCTGCTGTGGGTGGCCCAGAAACAGAGTCCTCCCTGCGTACCTCTAACAGTGGGGGAGGCCTGGGTCCTGGGCTGGGACCAGAGCAAGCCCTACCGCTTGGCAGAGTGAGGCGGCCTCTCACCCAGCAGATGCTGGGGGGGGGGGGGGTGAGGAACAACAGTGCGGTGGCAGAGGGTGCTCCCTGCTCCACATCCCCCACGCGGCCTGCTGGTGTCACATGCACTGCCTCAGTGCCAGCGTTGGAGTGAGATTCCACCGCCAGTCCAGGTGACTCATAAGGTGCTAGGATGGGAGAAGCCTCTTGTCCTTTGCTTCAGCCTGGCTCTGTCATCCGTGAAGTTCCTCACATGGGGTACATTTCCTTCTTTTGCCTGATTCCCCACGGTTTGTAAATACGCGCCTGCTTCTCGGAACCTCCAGAACTGTCTTCCTAATTTTGCTTTTGCCGTATCATTCCCATTCTTTCAAAGAGCCTGGAGAAAGAGGGCTGGGGTGCCCCTAACTTTGGGGCACCACTTTTGTACTGTCTGGAGGGTGAGGTAGAGAAGGAGACAACCTCAAGCCAGCACAAGCATAGATAATGTTCAGAAGGAGAGTTTAGTCAAGACTCAAACTAAGCTGAAATACAAGTTTTAACTGAATCTCCAAAGTGGAAAAAAATGAAAAACAAGATGGGGGAAAATCCCTCTCAAAAAAGGAGTCTAACTTAAGGGTGAATTACTCCAACCTCTGAAAGTCCTAAATTATGTTATGTGCTCAGCTGGAACATATAGTACACAAACCAGAAAAACTGAAAGGGAAGAAGGAGGCAGGTAGCTTAGCGCTTAGCAATAGTTTTACGCATAGTGTTCTTGACTACAACTCCCATGTATTTGTAGGGACATGTGTGTGTGTCCATGAGTGCTTATACACAAATACAAGCATAGATCCCTTGGCTCAAAATTTTAAAACGCACCCAGGAGGCTATGCCCAACTATTTATACCCACTTCGTGCTGCAATAGCGCTAGCAAATAAAATAGACTTGCAAAACATGCTCAGTAGAAAGGAAAAGGAAGACTCGAGAGCTCAATTACACCTCAGGAGCTTGGATGGCTGCTATTATTGTCCCATTTAGCAGGAAGGACCTCAGGTGCATTTGTACAGTAACCAGACCCTCAGGTATGCCAGGGCTTCATCCTTGGGGATAGATGCCCCCCTGTAAGCCTTCTGGATACCGTCAGTCTCGGGCAGGGCAGTGCACATGATGCTCAGTCCACATAGGGTGCAGGGCTTATGAACCGATGTTCACAAGGCACACTGTGCCTTCCTTTTTCACACGGTCTTTCCCACATTTCTGAGTGCCTGCTGGAGTGCTAAGGATATGCGTTGGCAGCTAGCGATGTGAGATCAAGCCTACTAGGTGGACAGGCCATTGGTCATCTCCAGATCTTGTAAATTAGTTGACATTTTAAAAAAATATATTTTCAGCTGCTAGCATACTGTGGGCTTCCCTCGCCCAGCACCACCACAACTCCCCCAAAACAAACACATCCCCCCTCCTCCCGATTTAAGCTGTACCTTTTCAGAAGTCTGCTTGAAAAGGGAGATCTTGGAGCGATCTTGGCAAAAAAGCAGCACCAAAATTTGCGGGACAGTGAGGACTGGCGCTATGCACTGGAAAAACAAGTTCTGTCTCATGCAGCCAGAGAGTGGGGATGTAGCTGCTTAGGAGCCATTTGTGCAACACTGAATAAAACTGATCTTTATCTACCTTTCCTAGCACAAGCTGCGGGAGGCCAGCTGCTTTGAAGTGCCCAGCTGTGCTGGAAGCCGCTGAATTTGCATCTGGGGTGGCTTCTGGATGACATCACCTCTATTGGCCACCTTCTTGGGGACACTTCTGTTTTCATTTTATGCAGCCCCAAAGCATTTATTATTTGACTGACCCATAAACAACTTCCTGGAGCTACTGTGCTTTGCAATAGTTGTGTTCAGGCACCATGAAACCAACACAGTTAATCACCGTTTTCAGGGAAGGAGTAGCTAATCCAAGCTGCTTCAGTGCTTCTCAGGGGGAAGCAGTTTATCCAGAACTATGATCAAAAATACCAAAATATTGAGAAATCCAGGCAGGATTGTTGCAGTGGGGGTAAATGGCTTCTGAGCATTCAGGGACACGCAGCGCCTTGAAAATCACATGCGGATTGCTTGGCCACATACAGCCCACCCTCTGCCAGGGCTGAGAAAGGAGTTTAACTCAGGTGTCTCCACTCAAAGTCAGCACATTGAACAGAAATACATAAAGAGAGGAATGGTTTACAAACTGGTTTCAGCAAGACTGGAAATGCCATTATACGACTGGGACTAATTCATCTGCATGGAGATTCGCGGGACAAAGGTGCCTCATATATTTGGGAGTGGTGGGTGGGAATTTAGAAAATCCACTCTAGCAGTCTTTCATTCTCTCGTGATTGCTCGTAGATCAAGCACCCAGTATTTATTCATTTGTTTGTTATGCCAATTTATATGCTGCTACCATAGTCCATGCTCCCTATGCAGCCTGTAACAATTAAAGCATCAACATTCTAAAATCAATAATAAAAAAAACATTAACAAACATCAATAAGCTAATGTGGTGTAGTGGTTAAGAGTGTGGGACTGGGACTCAGACAATCTGGGTTTTAGTCCCCGCTCGGCCATGGAG